TATATATATATATATATTGCTCTCAAGGGCTGATGTCTTTTCCCATATGGGACTTTCAACCAACCAGCTTCAGAATCGTTCATCTTCTAAGTCTATTCTGGACATCTTGAAAATTTCTAAGCCAAATGGAAACCACAAAACTCAGTCTTTCATAACAATTTTACGTTCTCGAAATACAAAGCCGGTATAGCGTGAATATTCAAATTGGCTTATCGAATACTCACACGTTTGGATTTAAAAATGACCCATTTATCCACTTCCATTTCTTCTCTGATAATGTTAAATTTAATCCAATCCAAAACAGAAATTCTTTTTTAGGTATCAGGCTTTGTACGTGTCTCTATAAATAAAGCAAACAAAATGGCGGAATGCTGAATCTGTATGATCTATTCATGGTTTGCATTTTTCTACTCTTTCTCTAAAACTGAGTTCAAGTCTTACCTCATCTATGATGACTTTCCTAACTCCCCATCAGAGATGATTATTCCTTCTTTGTGATATTACTCTCTCTATTTATATTGTTGCATTCATCAAATTACATTCAATTATTTCCTTATGTGTCTGTTTCGTCTCTCAGATTGTGAGCTTCTTGAAGTCAAAGTTGCTACTTGTATCTGCATGGCCCCTTTGGGCTGAACCCCAAAGGCCGTGGTAAGGTTAGAAAAAAGTGCTAAGTTCTATTAAGGTATCTTATTTAATTATTTACCAGTTCTTCTGGATCTTGAAAAAGCAGCAAACTGGATTCTTTTGTGGAACAGTCAGCTAGACTGTAGTTCCAAGTGTTGGAAGCGAGAGAAAAAAACAAGCATTTTTCTCGGAGTAGACGCCAATCTTTTGGGCACTTTAACAGATCTGGTTTCTCTGAAGTAAAGAGAAAGATGAAATAAATAAGTGTTATAGTTCTCTCCTGTTTCCACCCACCACAACCAATCACACACGCACAAGTCATCATAAATGCACAAAAGTCTCTGATTATCATTGTGAGAACAATGAATGGATTGGCTATAATTTTGAGGTTTTTGACACTCTCCATTCTGATATCAAGAACTGGAAATCCATGACCAGTTGTAGGGGGCATAAATGCAATCATAGAGTGTTAGAATAGGAAAAGACCATTAAAATCATTTACGCAGCCACATCTTACTTTTTAAGGCACTGACAGAATAATTTAAGTGCACATAATCAGATGGTGTGAAGAGTCAAAACTACTGCTGAATTTTCTCAAGCTCATCAGTAGTGTTGATTCCACTACATATCCAACAATATCAAACTTATCGAAAGGAGTTTTTACCTCAAACAACTTGTAAACTGCAAAGCAAATATAATTTATCGCCCTAAATTGATGACCAGTACTACGGAAAATTTCCAATTGCCAAAGTATATACTTGCTTACTTAGTGCAATCTGTTGGGTAACATTTTCCAGAAGGATTTTCCAGGTTACTTAAAATTGATGATCTGGGAGCATGTGCACCATCCACAATCATATTTTACTACAGTCATTCAACCACAGTGTCTTTATTAACGCACACTGCTTCGTGAAGCAAGATTAACCTCCTAGTAGTGAATATGATAAATATTTAGAAACTTATTTTATATTTCAGTTTTACTAATTAACTTCAGTCAAAAGTTAACTGTTTGACATGCTCACTAAAATCATCCACTATTTCACTTAGGTGCGTATATTACTTCTTAACTTGATATTTGGCTGTTAATTCTTGAATATTCTAGCAGCAACATCTGTGTTGGGGGTGGAGTGTGTCAGGTAAGTGATTCACGATCACTGGCTTCAGAATACTTATTTTGTTTCCTCTAAGTGTGGAAGTGTGACCTAGTGGTTAAGATCATCGGCTCTGAGGTCAAGCCACAGGTACAATTTCCATTGTCGCCTCTTACTTGGTGTATGACCCTAAGTGAGTTGCTTAACCCTCCCATTCCCCAGGGTTGTCAAACATAAAGTCAGAAAGCTCATACTATCTGAATATATGGGTTGTTAGGAGCCTTTACTAATGTAATGTATGGTATCGGTCAAATACGAGCTACAAAATTACCTGTTGTTTCATTCCTGTTCTCGTGAACATCCACACCGCTTTCTTCTATTGACAAGTTTTGTCTTAAGAATATTACTAGTAAATAAGGAGAAACCAGTAAGAAGATTAAATGCTGAATGTGGCAAAATGGATATGTTATTATCACTTCGGGAAACTGTGTTATCTCAACAAGCTTGAATGTGGGTAGAATATAAAGGCAATAGCTATGTAGTCACAAAGGGTCTAGTTAGAACACAGCATACGTAAACAAACAAAGAAGAAAAAACACCTAACAATGAACTCACATAGACGTTGTTACCTGTTATCTACTCTTAAGTTGTTAATACTCCTGACCAAGCTTTCTCATATTCGGGAGGAATATAATTATGCCTACCCCCTGGGAGAGATTGCCTAGTGCAATCTGGAATATAATAGGTACTGAAGAAACTGTAAATAATGGAAAATTTAAATTATCTTTGTTATTGTCATGTCTTTATTAGAATGGTGATCTAATTTTAAGTTCTGGAGCACATCTGAAATACCTCATGAAGATGATCAGAACAATTAGGAACAGAAATCCAAAAGGCTGAAGTTCACAGAGTAGATTTGGGCTGAGCATTGTTAAAAGCATTGTTTTGTAATTGTCTTTCTTTCTTCGGTCTTTCGCTAAGTTTGGGGGTGGCCAAATTATTTGATACTCTAATATTTGTGATAGGAACAAAATATGTATTCTGAAGCAAATGATCTTGAATCACTTACCTGAAATACTCAACCCAATCACAGTCAAGGTAAGAAGAATAACCCCAGTACAACCAAGTTTCAGAGCCAACTGATGCCAAGGTGGACCTTGACAGATGTCTGAGAAGTTAAGAAAATACACTTAGTTAACTGGTTGGGTCCATCTGGAACAAAAAGCAAAGGTGGTTTGGGTCGCATATAGACAGATTCAAGTTGGGAGCTGGGGGCAGGAAAGAACGCTTATCAGCCATATTAGAGCTCCACGAGATGGGTTCTCAGTCAGATCCACCTGAGATTTGGCTCATGAATAAAACAGAAATATTTACGCTTGTCTTAGGTACAAAAGATTGGTGTAACAAATGGGATAGACGTGAAAAGTTTCGAAAATTGCCAAGTGCTGTATGAAAATGAAGCACACGCCCTATTGTAGGAAGTAAGTCAAAGAATTTTGTCTAAAAAGGATGGCCTTCATCCAGTCAAGATATGTTAGAATGAGTTCTATGGAGGCTCTGTTTTGTGCTAAGTACCATTTTAGGTTCTCGTGACACACAACGATTCTATTCTTAGACATGGATTCCTCTGCTTTATTGTTGTCTAAAGCAATTATCTCCAACTTGAATCAGAGAAGAGTGTTTTATGAGGCTGCATATTATTTTAGTATTTCGATGAATATAACATAACATGAACTTATGTCTACAACGTTGCATAGTCTAACAAATATCAAATACATTTGTTTTTCTCTGCAATCATATCATTTACAGTATACTGTGTCTCATGTTTATCCTGTTTATCACAAATTGTGATTATGGGGGAGCCTGGGTAGCTCAGTTGGTTGAGCATCTGACTCTTGATTTCTGCTCAGGTTATGGTGTCATGGTTTGTGAGATAGAGCCCTGCATTGGGCTCTTTGCTGACAGCATGGAGCCTACTTGGGATTCTCTCTCTCCCTCTCTCTCTGCCCTTCCTTTGTTTGCAAGCACACATGCTCTTGCTCCCTCTCTCTCTCACAAAATAAACATTAAAAAAAGAAATTGTGATTATATTAATTAATGAAATGGAAGCATAAATTAATCATAAGTTTATCAATATATTTTGTTCTAGACATCTTTAAAACTATAAATTTCATGGGGAAAAATAATGAGAGTATTTTTTTTTAATTTTTTAATGTTCATTTATTTTTAAGAGAGAGAGAGAGAGACAGAGTGTGAGTGGGGGAGGGTCAGAAAAAGAGGGAGAGAGAGAGAATCCCAAGCAGGTTCCGCACTGTCAGCACAGAGCCCGATGTGGGCCTTGAGTTCACGAATCGCAAGATCATGATGTGAGCCAAAGTCGAACGCTGAACTGACTGAGCTACCCAGGTGCCCCTGAGAGTAATGTTCTAACAAAAAAACTTGCAGGGAAACACCAGCTCAGATTCCAAAATTGAATCAGCTCTGATAGGAATTAGTCTAGTAATTCAAACCTTAGTTACTCCACTTGAAATTGTGTTTAGGTAATGCCTATACCTCTGACTTAATTATAAGACCCTTTTTGTTCTCATTTGGTTTGTAACACACACACACACACACACACACACACACACTCACACACACATGCACATATACACACATATATAACATATATATGTAATATAGCCATAACATGCATATATATATACATATATATATACACACACATATATATAATATAGCTGTAAGATATATTACAAGTTGTTTTCTAAATTATATTATTAGAGCAGAGGGCTTTTACAAGTAAAGGTTTTTTAATTTATCTAAAGCTCTGGATTTATTTATATTATCTATTCTTTTTATATTTTTTCTAATATTTCTCTATATAGACATTTATTTGTTTTTAGTCAGTTGTTAAGAATATTAGTACCAGGTTTGTTAAAATGCTATCTTTTATTCTTCTTAAATGTTCCAGAGTGACTTACAAGTCCATTTGCACTTTGTTTTTTTACACTGTCCCTGGCAATAATTTTGTGCAACCCAATTTGCAGAAAACTACTAATGGTCCCCTTAGTTAGTATGTTGACATTCATATCTTAGCTCTTTCTAAAATGTTCCCCAGTAGATGGAATTTAGAATAGCTAATGTGATCAAAGATTATGGGAAGAAACAGATGATCGGTAAGATTCAAGGTAGTGACACATAGATTATCACCTATGAGTAAGCACCCAGAGGAGTCTCCTAAACTCTGGGCATACATCTGGATCTGAGAACACCAAACTTGATTCACATTGACCTAGAACTTCTAATAAAAACCATTGTGATACAGAATGGCTAAATGCAGTCAATGAACCTAAGACTGGCCCTAAAATATCACTCCTTCTGGTTGTAGATATGTATATTATTTTACCTTTATGTCTCTTTCCTTCCTCGTCCTTTTTTCCCTTGAAACTTTGCAAAATGGAGACATATAGTGACTATTTTAATATTTATTATGGAAGCACAGCAGTGGTTAGAAGCAGAGGCTTTCAAATCTAGCACATCTGTATTTGAGCATGTTGCTTTGGGCAAGGTATTCTAGCTTCATAAGTGACAAATTTCCTCATTTATAAGATGTAGACTAATACCTACTTCATAAGGTTTTTGAAAGGACTATATGAGACAATTCTTCTAAAATGCTATGCATAGTATCTGGCACATAGTAATTATTCAATAAATATTATGTTATTTTTCTTTTAATCTTTTTTAAAAACTACAAATATTCCTCAATTTATTCCTTATGTATATTCCTTGCATCCCCATAAACCCAGTGAAAGTTGAAAAGATAGTCATTTGAAAATAGTTTTACTATCCCTAACCTATTGAGCATCATAGCTTAGCCTACCCTATCTTAAAAAATTATTCCTACTCAGAATAATTACATTAGCCTAATCTTGGGCAAAATCATCTAACACAAAGCTTATTTTAGAATAAAGTATTGAAAATCTCATAATTTAGGGAATAGTGTACTGAAAGTGAAAAGCTGCATGGTTGCACGGGAACAGGATGACTGTATTGGCTGTGACCTTCATGATGGTGTGGCTGATGGGGACCTGTGGTTGCCACTGCCCCGCATCATGCAATAAGATTGTGCCACTCCTTGCTAGCCAGGGAAGAGATTGAATTCAAAATTCAAAGTATGGTTTCTATTGAAAGTGTATTGCTTTCACAATTGGAAATTGTGAAAAATTTCCAATGCTTTCACATTGGAAAGTCCAAAAATTGCAAGCTGAAACTTAGTAAGTAGGGGACCATCTGTATAGCTCAAAGGCAATTTGGAGTGACTTTTTTTTGAGAGAGAAAGGGAGAGCACACGCCTGGGAGAGGGGCAGAGAGAGAGAGAGAGAGAGAGAGAGAGAGAGAGAATCTTAAGTAGGCTCCATGCTCAGCACAAAGCCCAACATGGGGCTCAATCCCATGACCCTGGGGTCATCCCTGAGATGAAATCAAGAGTTGGATGCTTAACTGACTGAGCCACCCAGGTGCGCCTGGAGTGACTTAAAGATACTTCTTCATTCTTAATAAAACTTAAGGAATTGAATGGAAGGTCCTGTGCTTGGGATGCTCTTCTGTATTAAGTCCTTCTGCTGCACTATATGAGATTGAAATTAATGGAGTTACAATAACAAGTTGAAGAGGCCAAGTAAACCTTAGTTATTGGGAAATACCCACTCTGGGCTACTCTTTGGGTATAAACAATATATTAAACCATTCTACTCCATTGCTCTAAACCTTTCAATGGCCTTCTATGGAGATTTGAATGTGGACAAGTCTATAAAGTGGTCTGCAGATCCCTATTCAATCTGGCTTCGAATGACCTCTCTAACTTCATCTCCTGTGGCTCTCCATATATACATGCTGATATTTCACCCTAATCTGCGTGCTCTCCTACAGTATGACAGGTAAGTTCTGATGTCAGGGAGGTTGCACTTGTGTGTCCAGCTTCCTAAAAGACTCTTCTCCCAGAAAGCATGACTTTGTCCCACAAGTCTTGACAGGTCTTGACTCAAGTGTCTTCTTATCATCACCTCCTGTAAATATTCCATTTGATACAGTACCCCCCACCAAACTAAATTCTACTTCTATTTTTTTATCTTCTCAATTTCACTCAATATCACGTGATCTTTTGAGGCATCTGGGTGGCTCAGTTGGTTAAACATCCCATTCGGCTCAGGTCACGGTCTCGCAGTTTGTGAGTTGAAGCCCCACGTCAGGCTCTGTGCTGTCAGCTTGGACCCTGGAGCCCACTTCAGATTCTGTGTGTCTCTCTCTGCCCCTTCGCTGCTTGTTCTGTCTCTCTCAAAAATAAATAAACATTTAAAAAAAATGTTTTAAATATCACATGATCTTTTTACATATACTCAGTTATTTGTTTATTATGTCTCTTATAGTAGTATAATTGCAGTAAAGGAAAATATTTTTTCTCTATTTTGTTCCCTGCTGTAGCTTCAAAACCAATAGTTTATTTTTGAATGAACAAACAATGTCTACAGGCATTTTACAAACACCTTACTTACTTTTCTAAGGAAGCAAACCATTGGCTGTAACAAAATAGGTCACAGCCCACATCTCCGTCTAGCTCGCTGACTCCTTTTGGTGCGTTCACTGTTTAACAGTTACCACAGCCTGAAGAGTTTAGCCAAGGAGCTCAGCAGTGGTTTCGCAATAATTGTAATATCAGATCAGTGTTTTTAAATTACATGTTTTGTTGGCCTTATTCTACTTTGTTTCAGATTTCCTTTCACGATGGTGAAATAGGACAAAAATATGATCAGACTGGACAAATTTTCTGGACGCACTGATTTGGGGTCATAGTAATTTTTGAGGAAAATCTCACTGCCTTTCTCTGTATTCACTTTAGGTCATCCCTTTTAAACACCAGCCTCCTCCCTCTCCACCTTTGCTAGATCTGAATAGGGTAAGAGAAAGTCTCATTATTTCCCTAAAAAATAACTGTGGCCACACCAAACCCTGACTGTAGTTATCAAGATCCTCCAATTCCCCTTAACCCCCATAATGAAGAGTGTAGTGAAACTTATTTGGCAACCCTAAGCCTTTTTTCCCAATTTAGAACATTGATAATTTAGTAGTTTCAAACCTATACCAAATCATCTTAAAAGGCTATAGCCCAATGTTTAGCACAATATGAAATGAATATCAGGTTGGATAAAAATCCCAGTAGTACATTTGGTTAGATTTCAGAACGTCATGATAATTCCGTGCATATTTTCTGCCTAGTTTCTGGTCTTTTTTCATCCATTTCCAGGCTATTGGCATCCGTCACCTATTACCTCACATGACCGTTTCCCATTTTTTTTTTTTTCCCACTGAAAATACTAATTCCTCTGACACAGAAAAGTGCTGATTCCAACAAGTGTCAAATAGGTTATTTTAGTGATATTCTCCAGTGTCTCATGGCTTATCTCCGTCGAAACCAGGATACATTTCAAGCATCAAGTTTCAAAGTTAGAAACTATCAGATTATAATTACGTTGAAGTCTTTGATCTTGAATATGATATTCTTCTAGAAAAATTTTTCTCCTTCTCTTTGGATAGCGAAGGATATTAATCATTGCACTTATACTTCATATTGGGGGGCAAAACACTATGGGAGGGAATGCAGTAAAACTTAGCATTAGTATTTTGGGGAAGGATTTGGAATAAGGTACGTTACCATGATAGGAAGTCTCTAAAATATTACTTTGTTCATACGTGTAAAATATTTCTTCCTGGTTTTTAACCAAGCCTCAGGAATAGGAGTGATGTTCACTCTGCACACTAATATCTTGATAAAAAAAGAAATCTACAAGGTGTGTGCTTTTCGTCACAGTTTTTGTTACCTACAGGTAAGATATGCTATACCATATATATATATGTGTATATATATATATCCTATATATCTATATATCCTATATATCCATATATATATATGGTGTGTATATATCCTATATATATATATCCTATATATCCTATATATATAGGACTGCTGCTTATCCTCAGAGCTGTGATTTAAAACCATCAATATAAGAGAAAAATCTAACTCTGAAAGACAAACAAATGCCAAATGGAAAACAAAAGGCACTTACCCTGAGGAAGAGATGGGGGTGATGAACTTTCCAGGCAAGTACCCCTGGATAAGTTTAAATCAGCATATGTCACTTGTCTGTCCATTGCAAGCAGGACAACGTGGCACAAAACTTGTGCGTAAGGACAGACTCCAAGTGCTATGAGTCAAGATCAGCGAAAGGAAGTGCCCAGTCTGAAATGCTTTTTTGTTTCTTTTGTATCTCCTCCCACCTACACTTTTAGCTGTGGGGTTTCTCCGTAAATTAGTGAGACAATCCACTTACTGAGTTTCCAATATACTTAGATATGTAACGTCTACTTTGCTAGTTAACTGGTCAGCTGTTTGACAAAATTTGGGGAAGGTCCTGTTGTTGTTGTTCTAATCCCTTTTGAGTATCTTTCTCCAGGTCAGGACCAGCATGAGACAAATGAGACATTCATCTAGGGTGCAAACTTAAGGGACTCTCCAAAAAGATTCAGTAATCAAGAGAAATAACATTTAATGCAATGTTGTAAAAAGTAAACATTTATGCCAAAAATGGCAGGATGCCTTTCAAAAGTTCTAAATTCTTCGTGAAATATTTGTGCTGTAGTTCAAGCTACAAAATATGAAAAATGGCATTGTAAATGTGGACATGGCCCCTTAATAACATAATTTATAAAAGCAAATAGCTTAAGATCCATAGACCATGCTTAGCTTAGTTCTAAAGGCACTCGTGACTATAACAGAGTCTCCACATAAGTACAAAATTGAAATCTACCAGAATTATAGAAAGTAGAGGCCTTGAGTCTGTAGAATTTCCTTTTTTTCAAGGATTTTCAGGCATAGAACCTTAGAGCAGGATCTTAGATGCCACCAAGTCTGCAAATGATACGAGAGAAAACCAGGGATTTCCTCAAAGTCACTTGCTGTAATCAGAGCAGAACTGTACCAAATGCTCAGAATCACTGAACACTGGAAGTGGTCTCCCGGCTTTGATTCCCCAGAAGGAGGAAGTGGCTATTCATAGAAGACAAGTTTTCATTCTGTGCATGTTATAGAGACACACGCTTATTCTTTAAATGCTACGGATACTTACGAAAAAAGTAAGCATGTGTGAGAATTGAAAAGAAAGCATATGACATTTACAATCTATGCATCTTTATGGTGGGAAAAATAAAAAGGGTTGCTGTTTTTAGAAACATATGAAAAATATATTTTCCTGTGTTATAAAAATATATCCAGCATGATTGATGGTAATATTCTGAATTTAAAAAATTTCTAAGCTATTTCTTTTTATTTCCTTGTGAGAGTTTAATTTTTAGAGTGATGCACCAATGGTTATCCACCAATATTTAGAAGGTGGATATTTCACCTTCCCCCAAAATTCTGAGTCTTGAGTATAATATATCGAATCACTAAAACAAGCTTAGGTTGATAATACCATTCATTATATGCTCTCTTCAGTGATTCAATGACAATGTTCCTTGAGTATCTATTTGGTAACTAGCAGTCACTTTATTTGTGCTATGATATTTGGTTTTGTCACATACCTCATCTAAATCTTTAAAGTAAACATAATCTACCAGAATTATGGAAGGGTATACTGGGTCACCTATATAGAATACTGTTTCTCAAATTTTAGTGTCTATATAGGGACCACCCGAAAACTTGCTAATATTGTAGACTCTTGCCACATGTATCCTTCCTTTCCTAAGACACAGTTAGGCTAAGGTGGGGGATGTGCTAAAAAAAAAATCATCCCAGATTAATGAGGTGGTTCATGAACCACACACAAAGAATCATGTAGCAAGTGAAAAGTGTGAGGATATTTGAGAAAGATCAACAGAGTGAACAGAAGTCTGATAATTCAGGGGATTGAAATCATGGTTTGGCATACTAGAGTTTCATTTAAATGAAGCATGACGGTGACTTTTGGAATCCACAGTAGCCAAATGAAAACTAATTTATTTGAGTGCTCCCTTCAAAGACATTTCCCTTCAAGCAAAACTTGTAGAAGTCTTGTGGGCTATGAAAGAATAAACTGGCGAGAACTAGAAACAAAGAAAAGTCTTTAGTTGTCCACACTACATATGCAACACATTGATGTTTCATTTTGTTTGCTACAGCTGTCTTCACAATCATCTACCACAAAAGACTTTTATTGTGCAACCGCTATTGTATACATAAAAAATAAAACCTTCATCTGAATTCATACCTGCAGAATGCTTTTAGTTATGTTCATCTAATTACACTTGGCACTTTTGCAAAAAGTTTATCAGAATTTAGGAATATACTGTCATATATATATATATATATATATATATATAT